TCCCTATTTCATTTTGACTTCTGCAATATATTTTGAGTGGATGATAGTTTTTAGTGTTTATCCTTATCTTTTTTGTTAGTTTTGTGTTATTTAGTTCTGTAGTATGCTTTCATCATTTAGGACCGAACAGTAGCGGTCACATCAATCCTAGCATGCACTTTTGTTCTTGTATGGTATCTTCTTTTTTTTTTTCCTCTTGTGCTAAATCTCACAAATTTCTGCTGCTGTTTTTTGATACAAACAGGAAGTTCTTGCGATATTTGAGGCAAGTTTCTTTTCCCTGCTTCCCCTTCCTTAATTTTTGTTGAGCCTTGCCTCTTAATTCCCAGAATCTTGTTTCTCTTCATGCTCTTCATTTTTATTCTTTACCCATTTTAATATGCTGAATATTTCACCTTTAAGTTTTCTCAATGTTAATTTCTATATAAGCCATTTTACAACTGTCATCTTTCTTTGTTTTCCAGTACTTCTAGGTAGGATATATATTTTTGGTAGCCAATAATGTTACAGTTAGCCAGTGTAAGATAATACATACTATATAAGGTTATAGTCAGTAAATTATGAATAAGAACCAGAAAAAAACCTGGCATGTGGACTCACATTTCTGAAGATAGATATTTGAAGGAAAAATAAAAATATATTTTATTCAATTGTCATGTTGAATGGAAGTACAATAATAACTTAATGATTTAAAGTCCATGTGACTTTCAGAACAAGTTATATTTTATAAAAATGGATTCCATAGGCAAGTGGGAAGAATTCTGTCTTTTATAGGCACTAATGAAACTAAAAGACCAAATATCTTGCTTTCTGTATTGACTTAAATGAACAAATACGAACTTTTATCTTTAGATAAACTTAAGAATATTTATTTTCTTTTTCTTTTCAGATAAAAATAAGAACAACAAATGCAGAAATAGCAGATCTTGAAAATATGGAAGAACACCAGTCAGTGGACATCCGTACATTAGTAAGAATAAAGTATCAAATTATGTCTAATAAGGAAATGAAATAATGTCTTTTAATGTTGGCAGTGGTTTGAAATAAGCAAATACTGTAGATTGTCAACTAGTGTACAAATTGGATAAATTGTGAACAATGTAACACTTTATAGAATGTCTACAATTATGGCAATGGCATGTTTTTATTTTTAGTGAGTTTTTGTTTGGTTGGATGTTTGGGTTTTGTTTGTTTGTTTTCTTTTGGCCTTTTTCAAACTGCAGGTTTATGAAAGGCAAGGTGGTGGTGTAAGGGGCTGTTCTATGCATTTTCTTTCCTCATTCCAGATCTGCAGTGCTGTAAAACTGTTTGGGGAGAAGCAGCGCTGTAGGTTTGGAGGTCAGAAGTGGCACCATCAAAGCATAGGTAAAGGCCACTCTGGAGCATAATTTATGTCACAGCACTGCTGCTCTACCCTGAACCAACAGTTTCTTGCTTTGCTATGGCTTTACCATGCAGAAGTTATGAAGTTCATATATCGTCCTAAGGAAGGATCATGGTAGTATGATGATTTCTTCGAAGTTCTTATTCTTATCCATGTGTTCTTAAAATGTATGCATAGTAGTTTAAGAACAAAAAAAAAGTTTGATAATCTATTGTGATTTCTATGCTGGTGGCCATGAATTTAAACAGTTAGTCTGTAATATGATGTATAGATGGCCAAGATTTAAATTCTGAGAATCATCCTGATATTACTAATAATCCTGACTACAGTTGTTTCAGTTAAATTCTATGCCAGTTTTCCCACTATTTTATCTGGGATCAGCAAGAGGCGAAGTTGCCCAGAACTTTTTTTGTTTGTCACTTCTGATGCTGGCACAAACTCTCACTTTTTCAGTAGTCTGTCTTTCAGTGTGTGTGCACACGTGTGCATGTAAGTAAATATTCCAAAATTTACTCAAGAAGTAAAGGCTCAGTACAGATTCTGTAAGCTCTGGTGTGGTCCCTCTTTTCTAGATAATTTAGTTCTGTTGGTTTAAAAAAAATAAAATTCTTCATCCTTTTGCTGAGATGGAAAAATATTCTATTACCTTTTTCTAGGAGAATATCTTCGTGTTTGAAAATTATCGGACGCTTGCTTTTTGAACGTCAAAATTTTTACTGTTGCTTCTGATAATGGTCTTATGCAACTGGTAGATTTATGTATTTGCTTCCCCTTATTCCTTTCTTGGATTTTTGTTATTTTTCTGTTTTCCGCGCTTTCTGTCCACTACTATGTATTGATTGCTGTTCTTTCACTCGGTATTTGTCTTTCATTGCTACCTTGATTTTACAATTGTCTGATTGTGAAAAAGAATCTAGCAATACAAAGTTTCAGTTACATATTTTTCCCAGGTTTTGGAGTATTTGTCTTTTTAAATCAGAAAGTATGTATGATGATTTTCATTAGGAATGGTATATTGTCTAGGGAACAGCGATGATCCACTTACTCTTCCTATATTCCTCTGTATACTGAAGGTATACACTGTCATAGATCTAGAGGGAAGTTTTCTTCTTCTTTTGTTTAAAAAATTATTGCAGTAAAATGTTAACATGGCTAAGTCTTCACAAAATCCTCACCCCTTTAGTCTATTCATCACAACTCCCAAATAAAGTCCCCTTAATTTTCAGTCAGATAATTAGGAAATTCCACTTTTGTGATCCGATTTTGTGATTTAATCTTCTATAAGATCTGTCAATCTCTTCTTTTACGCTTTAGTGGCAACTACATTGAGCTGTTTGTATTCTTATTAGAGTTACAGATTATTTCATGTAATCTAATATCCTGATAGCAATAATAAAATAAAATTCTTGTACAATAATTTGCAAATGTATGTCTCCTTTTATTATTCTTCATTTTAATATATTTTGACAGGAAGATGAAGCCGAAGAAAATAAGGGTAAGATGGAATCTGTAAAAAAAGACCTGCAGCAACAAAGCAGAAAAATGGAAGAACTGAAAAATATTCTTCAGGTAGCTGAAAAAAAATTTGAAGAAATGAAAGAAAAAATTCATCAAGTAGAAGAAATTGCTGGTCCAATTAAGGTAGCAATAATTGCATATTGTAGTTTTGTTTCCTTTGTGTGGCAAGGGGAGTGAGGTTAAAAGGAGGCCAGAGAAATGAGTATGCTCCTTCCTAATACTTTTAAGGTCTACCTATGAAAATGGAAATAGAGCATTCCATTTAGAGCATGTAAAAAAATAAGCTTGGCAATATTTCAAAGGTGATGTGATTGTTAAGTGTAGTTGCTGTAGTGTTTTATGATAATGAGAGTTTGTTTCCAGGTATTTTTAGTCATGAACTGAAAAGGAGGGAAAAGAGTTTCCGTGACTTTCCTTTTTAGTGGATCACATTTGTTGCTTTGGCTTATTTGCTTGTTTCTGACAAGGCCTGGCTAAGAATGTTCATAACTGGTCGGTTTTCAAAGTAGCATTTGAAGTTCTATGTGAAATGGTTATTATTCTATAAAGTTGCATAATCACAGAAGGTACCAGTACGTAGTTTTAATTATTCAAGAAGACACCTGGAAATCACAGAGAAGTAGCAAGACTTAAGATAAATAGCACAGTAGTGACACGCAACATTTGATATTGGCAAATGGAAGGCAATCTCACATTGCCGAGAAGAATTAATGGTTTGAATATGGAAATAACAGGGTCCAGCATGTTTACAATATTGTAAACTTATACAAGGATGGAATGAGGGAAAACTTAGAAAGATCACTATAGGAATCTCTTATATATACGCCTCACTTAAATTGTATATTGCTATGTAGTCAGCCCAAATTGAAAAAGCAAGAGCAAACAAAAAGAGGAAGGAAACAGGTAAGGAGAACAAACAATAAATATATTCGTTATAATGTATCTAATATGAAAATCGTAAAGAATTCTTTAAAAAGAACAGTGTAAAGAAAGAGACTAGATTTATTCAGAATATTAGGACATTATTGCTAGTTATTAAGCAATAGAGGGCAGCTCTTCAATTCCGGAAAGTATTTTAGGTTAGATGGACTGCTGTGTGTTCTACAGTTGTTTAATGAATTGTTGACATATAGCAAGTTGTGGCTTTAAGGCAGGATTAGAAAAAGGTAAGAGCATTCGTTATTGTTGGTGATGGTTGGTTTTGTTGTTTGTTATTTTGGGTTTTGTTTTTTTGGGGATGTTTTTTGTTGTTTTTGTTTGGTTTGGGATTGTTTTTTATTTTGGGTTTTTTTTAAAGATAAGCCATCTAGTTGACAGGGATGAGGAAGAAAATTGTCTTCTAATTTATTTCATTCTTTATACCTCTTTGCTTCTCCGGAAAGCTGTGATATCACTTCAACTGTATCAAGACTTATGTAGTATAGAAGTTGCTATAGTCTACATCATATTATAGGTATAGCAGGACACTGAATTTTCACACAGAAATGCAGTTGTGGCTGATGTCATACAGGCATCAGAAGTTCTGGCTAGAATATATTGTATAAAATAAATGTAGTTTTTGGAAGTTTAGGAGAAAGGATGGCTTTTTTTTCCCCCAGATTAAAACATCTCCTCAAGATATGATTCCTAAAAACATTACAAACACCTATTATGCCCTTGGCAGAATTGAGTATAGACTTTCTGATAAGTTGTTGTTAGAGCTTCTGAACTTTAGAAAGAGCAGTCTTACTGAAAGCAAAATAAATTAGACAGTGTTAAAAACTACTTATTTACCTGTGATAAGTCAGTGAACATTAGGGAGATGCTTAGGAATCTACTCCAAACAGCTCACTTACCACATCTTGATTTATTCCAAACAGGATGAATTAAACCAAGCTGACTCAGAAGTGGAAAACAGTAAACGCCGTTTGCAGCACTATGAAGACAAACAGAAAGAACACTTGGCTTGCATAAAAAGACACAAAGAACTACTAGCTACCAAAGAAAAAGAATTGGAGGTAGGTGTGGGGTTGTTTTTCTTTATTGAAGTGAGATGGTCATGATCTTTCTAATACATGTACAACATACAGACCATATTAATACTCAGCTACACTAAGTATTCTCTCAGCTATGTCTTAAGCTGACTGCATCTAAATCAAGTAAAAGTAATTTTGTATAAATTAATCTAGGCCTCTTTTTGTCTAGCAGAGCACCATTTCTGTCTTGACAAATAAGTTAGGGGTTATCTATCTAGGAGTCTTTTCTTCTGTATTTTGCACTGAAAAGATTAAAATGACTTAACCTTAAAATTTGTATTTTAAGTTCAATTGAATAATACTGTTTTGCTTTTTTAGATGCTAGATTTTTCCTTGTACAGACCTCATACCTGATCTTTTGAAGACTTATCTAATCAAGCTTTATTAACTAACTCTGAAATCACATCCACAAAGACTTTTGGAAGACTGTCCTATTTAAATATGGTGAATTTGGTTCCTTATTTATCTGTATTAGCTAAATAACTGTAAACATGAAGTTCTCAGATGGATACAGTTCTTAGCATGAAATAAGTACGTACCTATAAATGTTGTTAGTAAAATTGTTAATGATAACTAGGTTTGCCTTGATAAGTACACAAAGAACGGTACAAAAAGATTGTTCTTGCTTGAAGATGTTGTTTTTCCATAGCACGAAATGTTTGTTGTGAAGACTAAACAGATTTTTTAAGAATGTAACAATTAACTGAGTTTCAAACATTAATTTAGGAAAGAATTGCACAAGCCAGGCAAATCTACCCAGACCGCATAGAGGTCAGCAGAACTGTTAAGAGTCTTGATGCAGAAATGAATCGCTTGAGAGAGAGGATAAATTCAGAAAATGATCGCCATGGAAACAGAGAAGAAATAATACAGTAAGTCATCTTTAATGTCTATAGTAGTTCAGGTAATATGGAAAAGATAAGGGAAAGAAGAGGTTTCTTGTTGACTCACAATGTATTTATTTGTGTTTTTAGTATTTAAACCATGTACGAAGGTATGGAAATGTGCTGTGCCGATTGGTCAGTCAACCAGTACAGAACAGGTTAGGAGTGTTGAACTACCCTCTAGTGATTTTAGACAGTGTCTGTACTAGATATATGAAGTTACCAATAATTGGATACTTCTAAACACTAAGAGGGTATCCCAGTTACGGCTACATGGTGTGAACATAACTCACCATTGTTCTGTGATGCAATGAGTGTTAAGCATACTTCTAGTTTGAATAACAAATGCAGAAGTTAGGCCATTATTTAAGGTTTTGACCGCAGTGTATTTCACCTTGGATATTCTTGAGCATGGGGAGCTTGTCTCAGCCTGTTCGGGGCGAGGTAAGCTGCACTAGTCTGAGGCACTGTCTTAGGCAGGCTGCAAAATTACTTTCTTTGTGGCCAATACCAGTTTCTACTCAAAATTCAAAACTGGTAAGTCAGACAAACAGGCACTGCTCCACTCAAGATTCAAGTCAGCCTCCCTTGCGTCTACCCTGGGAGAATCACAAGCTTACCTCCTAAATGGGGGTCTAGCATCAGCCAAGATTAAAGGTCACAACACTATATGGTTCAGTCAGGAGTTCCAACTAAGATACTCTTTATTGTGCTTGAAATTCAACTCGTGTTCAGAGAAGAGTTAGGAGAGCGAGTGAGAATGAGAAGGAGAGGGGGAGAGAAAGGAAAAGAATAGCAAGCGTTATAGTCACCACCGTGGATCCAGCGACATCTCGCAGAATCTATCATTGTCTTCGGTGGGGGGAGTTCGGTGAGGGGGAGTCCGTCCCGTCTCCACAGGTCCTTGCTGTTACAGTCTGTCAGCTGCTGCCCTGAACCGATCCACTATCCCACCCGATCAGGAGTTGTCGTGGTTATGGCACGTCGGCCTGTTCACATGCAGTTCGTGCGGTGTCCGCGGTTGCAGGTGCGCAAGCAGCACGTGCGCAGTGCCAACTTGCTTATTCAGACGTCCCAGGTTCGCGGGAACATCGGCCGCTCACACCGTAAAGGGGCTGCTGTAGCGCAGTTGGTTGGAGCGGGGCAGGGCGGCGGCAGCGGTTAGCTGAATTTCCTGCTGATGGGCCCGTTCATGCTTGAGGCAGTATTCCCACTTCTGTCTTCTACAGAGCTCAGTCATTCATTCTCCTTGGTGTAAAAGTTTCCTTTCAAAAGAATTAAAAATAGAAGTAAAATTTATTTTTTGACCACTTTTCATTTGTGAACAGTGTCTTACTTGACTCATCAAAAGCTTTTAGCTTTAACCTAGATTCTCACAAGAAAGTTTTGATTTGAATGTTTTGCTTATCAAATTGATTTTCAGCATTTACAATAGCTCGGTTTTAATGTAATGCATGCTGATCCTAGACTTTCTGTTAATTAAAACAGGCAATTTCATGATGCAAAGGAAAGATATGAGGATGCCAGCAGTAAAGTAAGGAACTTAAAGAAATTTATTAGGCTGCTGGAAGAAATAATGACACAGAGATTCAAAATATATCGTCAATTCTTAAGGTGAGTTAATTTTACTGTAATTTCAGGTAAACTAACATGTAGCTATAAGTATGTGCCTGTATTCCAGGGTGAAAATTATAGAGCAGACCTGTGAGAATGAGATATCTTTAAGGTGGTATTCACAGCAATCTTTCTAACCTAATCTTGCTCCCAGATCCAATGCTACCATGCCTGACAGTTTAGAGGCAGCCTGGACTGACAGCTGGAAAAAACAACGTGATCAGTGGAGGCTGTTTTGCTTCACACCAAAGGCCTCGACTGTGCTAACTTAATCCAAGGCAGTTCTGTTTCAGTATTGGCTTTGGTCAGTAAAATATCAACAACCTACTAGCATTGAGATCATCCGGGCTGTCACTCGTTTTCATCAAGTATAATTAGTGGTGCTGTGCTCACATAATTTCATTGTGGGCCAAACACTTTCTCTGCCCTGTGCTGAAAAAAATTTAAGATCTTTATTCAGATTCTGCAATTTGACAGCTTCCTTTCTCATGGAGTGTCCGTACCGGGAGTGCACCCCTTCTTTCTTGCTTCAGTCCCTTAGTATCCTGTAGCTATAGTGAAGGTTTTGTGGTGCCCTCCCTTCAAAAGGACTGATGGTCTGTTTTCCAGTGCAGTCCTTTATCATTACTGATTCCCTTCACCAGAAGCTGAAGGATGTCTATGCTGGCTATGCTTTTTGTACTTTTTAGTCTGGGATTTGGAGGGGGTGCCAGTATGATCCTGACAAATAGTAATGATCAGGAGAATCCCAGCTTTTGCAGGTGGAAGTATGAAATAGTAGTGGGTAAGATTTACCTGCAGGGTCTGATGCTTGTCTTATGGTGCCTATATATGTCAAACTAAATCTTGTTCCTAGTGCCCAAATTTGAGTATGAATCCCACTTTAGATGTGTTAAAGAACCATAGTTTGTTCTTGAAGGAACTGTGATGTATTGTCTATTGGGGAATTATATGCTAGAAGTGGGGGAGAAGGTGGTGGTGAGGGAGAAATTAATACTCAACTCTGTTTAATTCCCGGAGTCTAGCAGAGTCTACATAAATTCTTTACTATCCTTACCGTGCAGTCCTAATAGTCAATAGGAAAGAAGTGCAATGTGGTCATTTTCTGTTGAAGTTGTGGAAGAAGGGTGTAAAAGGCTTCCAGTCTATTGGAACAGGCTTCTAGAAAATACAAAGCTTGTAGTACAGCTGGATTTCTTACCTTGTTACTTTGTGTCAGTAATTCTCTCTAATTGATGTCCAGTATCGAATGTCACCCATTCAAGATCGTAATTGATTTGAAAAACTGTTATTATTAATGGAGCAGGGCTTAATATTTAAGATTATGATGTGGAACTGTTGATAAAAAGCTGTTGTCGCTTTTTAATGATTTTTAAAACTTACTGACCTAATGTTTGTTTGCTTGATTTAAATGATTTAAGGCTCCTTTCTTTACGATGCAAACTCTACTTTGACCATTTCTTACGTATTCGAGCTTGCTCTGGAAAAATACTTTTTGATCACAAGAATGAGACACTTTCAATAACAGTAAGTTATTTTATATTACTTCAATTATCCATAACATGTAATGAATGTTGTTATTATTTTTTTAATATCAGCTGCTAGAATATGCATTGCAAAGGACAGAATAAATTGTTCTCCCTCTCTGAAACGTGATATGCTAAATTGTTGGATATTGTTGAAAACAAACAAGAACAAAAACCATATTGCCATCTTATATGGGCAGGTTGATAGATTACATGGAATAAATTTGGACTCTGCTGAGGGTAAGAATTCACTAGCAAGTCATCCTAGCTGGTCTTTCAAAATCACTCATTCTCATTTCATTGCTAGGAAGTTTACCTTTATTTGTGTGATTGTATAATGGCTCTAGTTGTTATTTAAACAACTTTTCATGGCTGAAAGCTTCAATATTATGTTTTTTCTGTGTATCTTTTAACATACCTCCCAAATAGTTTTAGTCATGGTGGTATTTACTTTTGTTTCTGTGGGAGAGTTCAGTTTTAGGAATTGAGGGAAAAAAATGTGTAGTGACAACATAAATATGTCTTGACACAGTCCTAATTAAACAGATGAAGGATATGTATCTGAAGAACTCAAACTCAGTCCATAAAATGTCTGGCTTTATCAGAATACTTTTTTTTTTTTTTTTTTAATAGCTGATGTTTCATGTTTCTCATGTAAGAGATCTGTATTTAGTCAAGGAAGGTAAACTGAAAAAAAGAAACAACCTCTCCCCGCAAAAAAACAACCAACCAAGCAAAAAACCCACCAAAAGACCCTACTCTAAAATAATTCTTACTTTCCTGCTTAGCTTGTTAAAGGTAATGTGATTAACAGGATGAGAAAATGCTTACGTTTATTCTTAAAGGGGGAGTGCCACAAGGTGTCACCGTAATCAATGGAACTAAAGGACTGTTCACAAAGTCTCATGTATTCCAGTAAAGAAACTGATTCTCCTTTAAATTCCTCCTGTAAATCAGTCACCTGCTTTTCTATTGTAGCTAGCAACCATTGGATTTTGCTGTAATATACTACACTGGTTGACATTTATTAAACATTGTTTAATAGCTATTAAAAATAGAGAATTGAATAAGAAAACACTGGCAGAATCATTCAGTCTGTTCAATGTATTTTACTGTGATGGAGAAAATTGCAGTGATCCTAGAAATGTGTTATGAAATGGTTAGGTAGGAGCCATCCCATTCCAGAATGGCAGTGAAGTGCATAAAACCGTTCTCAAGTGATCTCTGTTCATGTGTAATGTGTTTGCCATTAAAATTACACTTCTGTTAGTAAGTCTCCATCTCAGGTTTAAAAATTGCTTTAATATTTTTTTTATTTCAAGGTTCAGCCTCGAGAGGAAGACAAGGCTTCTCTTAATGACGTGAGATCCTTATCAGGAGGTGAACGTTCCTTCTCAACAGTTTGTTTCATTCTTTCTCTGTGGTCCATTACTGAATCTCCTTTCAGATGCTTGGATGAATTTGATGTCTACATGGTATATTTTAAACTTAAACTACATTTGCCATTCTGATTTGTATAAATTAGTGAAATGGTTGGGTTGTTATTTGTATTTGGTTAGATTTTAAAACATTATCGTGAACTGTAAATAATAATTTAAAAAAAACAAAAACCAAAAACCAAATCCTCCAAAACAAAACTTATTATGGATCTTGCTCACTTTGCTTAGTAACTGTTGAAGCTTATTCTGTTTCTGAAGTTGGTACCTAGAGCTATGAGCATCTGTGTTACTTTATGTGCTTAAACCCTAGTTCAGCACAAAAAAAAATCACAGAATACAACTCTTTATTAGTTCCCCAAGCAGTTGTTACTGGGTTTGTCACAGGTTTCCTTTGCATATTGCTGTGACAGTTCTGGGCTTAGCATTTGCTTTGGCTTCTACCAATTTTGAGATCCATGTGGGCTTTTTTTTTTGTTGTTTGTTTTGGTTTTTTTGTTTTTACAGCAAGTGTAGCAATTGAATTCACTGTTGCTACTCAGAAACTTGTTTTATACTTCACCTAGTAGCACCATTCCAAGATACTGAAATGCAGAATAATGAACAGTGGATACCAATGTCAGCTAAAACTGATAAACCTCATCTTTGTATACAGCTTCCCTGGATAGATGATTAACCAATTTTTTAATATATTTTTATTTTATTTCCTCCCTATTCCTATGCAGTGTGGTATGCTTAAAAAAATAATTACTTCTGTGAGACAGAGAGTTGATACTGAATTATTTCATTTTGCCTTCAGTGTCCCTCCCCCATCAATGACTTCTTTACTGGGAATCACAGGCAGAGAGGGGAAAAAAGATAATATACTTTGCATATAAAGAATTTCAAAAAGGAAAGTATGTATCTAAGGTTGTCAAGCAGTAATTTGTCAGCTGGCTTCCAAAGCTTAGGTGCTCTTTTACAAGTTAGTTGTGCAGAAGTTTATCCATCTGTCCAGAAAAGGGTGGATACTCAGAACTGTAGGCCCTGCAGAGAACTTCCATGTCATCTGTTCCATAAATAATTCCACACAATTTGTCTTTCACTGCGGTGCCTGTAAGTGCAACCTTGCTGTCCCCGCGATCTGTGGTTACTTTTGGTGTAATCCTGGGGACCCACCACAAGAGGACTCCATCAGCATGTTTGCAAGGGAGATACCTAGTTTCACGTGTAACAATGTATAGAAGCAGAGCTTGCTTTAACCCCTGCTAGTAATAGCTTCCCACTACACATCTTTTTCAGTAAGCCTAACGCATAATGTTGTGTTCAAAATAGTAATATAATAATAACAACAATAATAACCATAATAAAAATAAGCTACATAATATCTTAGGTTTCATGCAGCCCTTAAATCCTTTCAGGTAATTTTGAGGCAGGATTTTGCAGGAAACATTATTCAGCTAAAATACAGTTCATCTCAGCATACTAATAAAGTAAGAAGTACTACGTGTATATCAAAGCTGATTGAAAAACATTGTGAGTAGGAGTGTGTGATTGTTCTGATAGAAGCTTTCTACTGTGCACATAAACTAAAAAGTAGAGTTTAAGAATTTACTGGACTATAATTTGTAGCTTTTAGAATTTAACCCTAATGTTTCTCCAGCTTAGTTTTTATTAGGCTTTTCTTTAGCTAAGCTTTACTGTATGTGAATTAATTCCCGTAGGTTTTTCTATTAAGATATTTTCTAATGAATTTATTCTTAAACACTTGTCATAATTTGTGTAATAATAGGCCAGTGAAGTACACGGTCAGTATCACTACCTGATAAATCTTTTGTCTTTAGGACATGGTTAACAGAAGAATTGCAATGGATATGATTCTTAAGGTGGCTGACTCTCAGCATCATCGACAGTTCATTTTACTCACCCCACAAACCATGAGGTAATACTGTTGTGTTATATTTCCTCATACAAAGCATTACAAGGAAGTTCTATTGCAAGGAGTAAAACTTAAGAAAAGTAAATATGAGGCGACAGAAATTTTGCTGTTTGTAGTAGTAGAACATCAACAATTAAGCAGTCCATTGCTGATGGCTCTGGAAATTTAATAGGTTTTTCACTCTTCCTTACATAATATCAGTGGGACTTGAATCAGTTTATCTTAAGTAGACCAGCTTTTTGAAATATTTTATTGTCTATAGTAGACTCCTGGTAGCTTTTAGCCCTCTATCTCCCTCTCTCCTCCCAAAATTAACAGAAGACTTTGCATTTTTTTATTTTTCCTGTTAATACTACAGTAGTTTCAAGATGTTTGTCATTTGAGTTGATTATTTATTTATTTATTTAATATCACTGATAAAACGATAATTTACTCCTTGGTTTTTTGGTTGGGTTTTTTTTGTTTGTTTTTGGTTTTTTAATCTAGCAGCCCAAAATTCTTTAAAAACTTCCATATAAGTTCCTAGTAAAGCCATGCCCAGATTAAGGGGACAGTCACTGTCTAGCCTTGTGCAGCCAGCTTGTCACTCTATTAGCCAAATGTAATCAGTGAAGCCTGCAGAGGCTAATTAAACAGTCTTCAAAATGAAGTTGATTTATTCTTAATTGTCTTCCCTTACTAAAATCTGTAAAAAGTATTCTGTTGTGTAAGTAGAAATGCTTTAGGGGGAATTTCTGAAACTGTATGCAATAAACATGTAGGAGTTTTCCGTATGGTTACTATTTAAAAGTTTAATAATTCAAGTGCAGCTTGGTTTTGTTATATTTTGTTACATGTTGCACGTTCAGCAAATATTTAATTTAACAAAAGTATGGAGGCACCTTCAGGAAAAATACATTTAGGATAATTGGTGGAGAAGCCTGTATACATGTATGTTTAGTAACTTTGTTCATTCTTAATATGATGTGATTATACATGTATAAAGTGTGTGCCACTTCAGGATCTGTAAGGAAAATATGAACTGTATTTGATCATTATTTCATTTGGAGTTTCTCTTACAAGTACCTTTTCTATAATTAAGGTAGTTGAATTGTTAGAAATCACATGATTAAGATCAGTCATTGTGTTTACCTCAAGCTTTTACTGAAGTTGGCTCCAGTATCAGTTCAGTGAAGCCAGAACTTCACCCCATGTTATTGTTTTGTAAAACTGTCAAAGAAAAAAAGATGGGTTTATTTAAAGGAAAATATGTAATGGAAGGAATCAAATGGCAATACTAAAATTTGTGGAGAAGAAACACTGTTTAAATGATGCATACTTTATTTTTAGTTCTCTGCCTACAAGTTCCCATATTCGAATCCTCCGAATGCAAGATCCTGAAAGAGGCCAAAGAACATTGAATTTCCAAAAGAGGAATGACAGAGAGGAAGATCAATAAGTATTTCTGTGTATGAATATGGCATACTATTGAGGATAAATGTGTCATGATTTCTGTAAAGTTGTTATTTTCTGATGCTGGATAGATAAGAGGATCTTTTGTTAGATACTCTCAGGAAAAGAAGAGGTTCCTGGTTTTTTTGGTTTTTTATTTTATTTGGGTTGGTTTTTTTTTAAGAATTACTGTATGTGTACAGACCAGGAATACAATGGGAAAATCCTGAATGTTCAGTTGATATTTTTAACTACCAACTAGTAGAATTTTTTATCAGTTTTTCTGTTTTTTCTTCTGGAAAAGATGAAATATATTTTGTATAACTATGGAGTAATATTTTAATAAACAGTGAGAACTGATACTTGTGGTAATGTTTTAGTGTTTCTACACACTTAAAATTAGCATTAAGTTGAAAATGTTGGTTTCTTCCTAGCCCTGCTTTATTTCTTAAATGTGTGCTGATTAATATATGCAGTAAAACATATATTTCCTTTTTTTCCAGTGGAACCACAGCAGCTGAACATGAGAAACTATTAGTACTTCTAGTGTATACTTTCATAATTAGAGAAGTGAAGAATTTATTTGCAGTATATCCTCTGGGCAGGAAAAAAGTGCTTTTATTTCTTCCTAAAGAGTTTAAAGGGAAGAGAGTTTCTTTTTAACTCTTTTTTTGAAAGAGTTTCTTTGGACATGAACTTACAAAACCTAGCAAATTGTGACTCTATAAACTTAGATTCTTAATTCCAATAAACAGTTTTTGCACAGTCTGAATTTGCAGGTATAGACCAAGTCTGCAGATATTAATTATATTATAACAAACTAAAGTGACAGAAGTCCTTCCAATATAGAGGAATGTAGTGGCATAAGAATTTTCAGAAATAATACAGTAACTTTTCTTACAGCATTATAGGCCTGTGTTTTGTTGGGTGGGGGGGTGTGTGTCCCTTCCCCTGGGACTATAGTAGAGCAGTTAAAATAAATTTGCTTTATTTAAATAATATAAGCATTTTTGGGGAATAAGAAAGAGAAAGAAGAACCAGATTTTTCAAACTGCCCCAGATTAACTTTTTTTTGTCTTCTGTTCTCCTTTCTCCAGGAACTTGAAATTGTTGGGAGCTCTTCACAAACAATTACTGTTTAGAGTTCATCCATTAGACATGCTTTTTTCTTTTTCTCTTTTTTTCTCTTTTTTTTTCCCTTTTTTTTCCTTTTTTTAACATTATGGGGATACAAAAGCCATTGAGACTATTCAAAGAACAGTTCTGCAGTTTCTACAGTTATTTACCAAACAGCAGTTCCTCAATAAAACCTCATTGCAGTGTAAGTTCTAGCTTCACTTTGTAGCCGTATTTGTTTTTAGCCTCTGCACAGTATTTTGTGTTCTTTAATGTTGTTTACTTTTTACAGAAGCATGTATTAAACTTGTAGGTATCCCTAAAATATGGAGGCTAGAGAAGAATTAAAGGAAATACTCTGAGAAAGCTGGCTGCAGTTCTAGTGCATTCTAACTGTAGAAATTAAGTCTAGTGATCTTTTGAAGGCTTCAGATGTTTCCTTCTGAAAGCCCAGAGTAATGGGCCAACAGGCTCGTGGCAGCCCTGAGGAGGTTACTGACAAAACAGGGCCAGGACTTTTGTTGAAATGCGTGGCAGAAGACAGACAGACAGCAGTCATAAATTGAAGCGGGGAGGTTCTGGCTAGATAAACCGAGGGGAGGGATTGCTCATGATGAAGACATGAGGCGTTTGAACATGTTGTCCTGACAGGCTGTAGAATCTCCATCCTTGGCTTTCGGGGTCTGAATAGACTGCTGCACCTCCTTCAAGCAGGGAGTTGGACAAGAGACCTCTGGAGGTCCCTACCAAACTAAACAATTCCATAATCCTGTGATTTGATTTGATGGAATATATATTAAAGATACTTGTTTAGGATTATATGAAGATACTGGGGTGGGGAAGCCATACAAAGTGAATACTTGGAAAAACTTGTCTGGAACACAAGCCCAGTTTGTCCTGGGAGTCCTCGATACTATTAGATGATCATGAACCACATGTTCAGTTTGACTCAATTTTACTATGAAACTAGAATATGTTTCAGACCCTTCTACAATATGAAGTGATAGAATGGCATAGCATTATTTCCTCCTGATTTTCTTCAGCATCGAAAAAATAAAGCAAGAGTGTAGAGGCAGGAGAGAGAAAAGCATTTATCTTCATTAGTACTTTTATAATGAGTTGTGTAGAGAAAAGAACTTAAGGAAGATTACCGCATTCCTACTGAGCGAACACTTCAGCTTTCTTCCAAGTTTTCTGTAGGCTTACTTGAAATATTGGAGCACTTGGCAACAATTCTCATTTCTGGTTCAAATCAATCTATTGTATTGATTCTGATCTACCACTGTACTTGATGAAAATGTGTGCCTGACTGTATTATAAGCAGTTGTTTTCATGGTAGAGGATTATTTCTGAATAAACAATTACTGAAGCACTTGCTTGATGCATTTATTTTTGCAGTGATTCTAAAGTCTCAAAACTGTCTTATTCTCGGTACTTTAAATACAGAGTTTACTGTACCAGCTACCTAGAGAGAGATTTGCAGTGCTGATGTGACATTTGTGACTGTCTTTGAGTTGCTGGCCAGTTTTGGATGGTAATGTATTGCTTAATGCTGCATTAAAGGCAACGGAGCCTGTCCAGCTACATAAATTCGAGGTGCAGGGAAATGTAGAATGAGGTACTGCTTCCCTAATAACTATAGGTAAACCAGAGAGACATAAATTCCCAGGAATTTTCAACATCCTCTCTACAACTAGTAATTTAAGCCTAAGTGGAAGCAATGGGCATATCATTCTCAGAAGTATGCAACATTTTCAGGATGCGTGTTTTATTTTGAACTTGCAGCCAAATGTACAAAGTATACCCCTCTCTAATTTGCTGAGAATATTACCAGTGTAGTCTAAGTAAAGTTCTGGTATTTAAAATGTAGTTGAAATTTCTGCCTTTTGCTACTTGTTTGGAATATGAAGAAACTTAAATGTGAAAGGGTGGATGTGGTTGTGGCAGCAATTGATTCTGTGTTCACCCCACCATGTTTGTTAGCAAAATGCATAAAACTATTTTTTTCCCCTCAATTTTAAGATGAGCTTCACTTCTTAAATTTGACAATACAGAGAGTGATTTGGTTTGTGTCATGTTTTATTGTCTGATTTTGAGCTATGAAGAGTACTGTCTCATTTCTGCATAAGGTAAAGAAGAAATATCAAAGAAATATCAAACATGCAATTTTAAGATTTTTTTTTTTTTTTTTTTTTTTTTTTAATCCTGCAAGCAACTGATTGTTTAAAGCAACTGGGAAACGTGGTGTAGGAAATATTTTTATCTGCAATTTCTGCAGTCTGCGAGTTCTCGATGCTTTCCCAGGGCTATGCAGAACTTGTACTTGCAACAAACTTGACTGATGCTCATTGAATGGAGGGGGAAGGTGGTTCTCTTCACTGTCCCTTCTTTATGGTTAATTTAGCAGTAATTATTTTTTGACAACATGTCTTTATATTAAACCCAGGGTAGTTTAGTGTCATATGGTAAGAGGGAATACTCTTACTTGAGGAGGGAAAAACATTAAAAGACCAGGTTTAGGCCAAGCAAATGAAGTGTATTTGACTTCTAGCTAGCTTAAAAAGCTACGCAAGCACAGGGCTCGTAGGTGTACTGTTAAATCTTAGTGTTAGCATCTTAGAGGATAAACAGCTGCTCTGTTGGTAAATACAAGAAGTACAACTTTTGGTTTCATATAATGCAACTCTTCCAGTGAGTGAGTGCAAAGAAGTTTTCTTCATGCTTTCGTAACGAAATATGTATTTTCCAGTAGTACAGTAACAGATAATTAAGAGACTGAACTTTTTTTTTTTTTTCTATTACCGTGCTGAAGACACGAAATAAGAATTAGGGGAAAAGGTCAAATGTTATAAATTTATTTTGGGACATATATATTGCAACCTCTGTGGAAGCTTTTGAAAATTCAGGCAAAGATCAATACACTTCCAATAAAACCTTTAAACTTCCAATAAAACAATATTTTAAACATTATATATATATATTTATATATACTTTTAATTAAA